AAATATTTTAAAATATAATAGAATTAATTTTTTTTCCAAAAATTAAGTATAAAATTTAAACTTTATAAAAAATTTATCTTGATCAAAGAGACACTAATTGAGGGGATACATCCTTATAGAAAAACACTAATTAAAGGATATGTCCATACATAAAAGACATTATTAAAAGATATTTTTAGCTGCTAAAAATTGTGTCTAAATTTTACGCATATCTTCTTAACTTAAAATAATAATAAATTAAATTAAATAACTATGAAATTAATTAAAAAATAAATTTTCTTCTTGGTAAGTCAAATGCCCATATAAATGATAATACAAAAGAGCAAGATTTAAACTCAAAGCCAGGAAGCTATGAGTTTCAATTTTTTATAAGTATTTATAAATATAAAAAAATTAATAAATATGTATATGTATATCTCTTTATTTCTTTATTCATTTCAGATATAAGTCTTGTTTAGTTTAAATTATTCTGTAAATTGTATTACATTATAAAATAAATCATTAAATAAAAAAAATTCAGTTTTATTATCAACAAACCTCTTGTCATTTAATAATTAATAATTTATAATGTAATATATTGTTTTCTAAATTACAAAACACCTTTCTTTCTAGTGAGAATGTGGATGAGCAGTTGCAGGAGACAGCGGATCTAGCTTTTTGCAAGGGCCAGCAATTTTCTTCGAGAAAAGAAGAAAGGACGGCAGCAAGGGAAATTAGTTAAATCAAACCATCATTAAGGAATAGGCTTCGTAGATTAGATGAAAAGGTAAAATAAAAGGAACCTTATAATGACAATGAGGCCTATTTGCTTTACTTTTTGACTATATGCATTTCTTTTTTAACTTCTTTTTCGCAAAAAATAAAAAAGTATCGAGTTACTTTTAATTATATGATTTATGTAGGATTTTTTTGCAATATTTATATAAGAATTGTTATTCATAGTCTTTAAATGGACCCTAAACTTTTAAAAGAGTTGTACTTAAGTCTTAAATTTTTTTTTTTGTATGTTGATACGTTTTTTTGGGCACAAATTGGGTATCAAAAACTTAATTTTTCACTTTGATTAGGTGAATTATACTCCTCCATTTCATTAAGTTGTCCTAAATTTTTGACAATTTAGGAATTAACTAAAAACTCAATAATTAAGTGTTAAAAGGACACATTTACTCTTTTATTAATCTATCATAAAGTGAACCCCTTCGTATCAACTAATTAATTTTTTTATAATATCAATTAATTAATTTTTAATTCGTTGCAACTTGTAGAGAAAAATGACTGCTTGAAAATCAATTGGTTGGGGGAATGTGGCGTTTTTATTACGTATATAATTAAAATGAAATGGAGAAAATGACTAAGGGAATGTAAATATTTATTCTTTACAACTTGTAGATAGTATAACTTATTCATGAGTCTTTTAAAGTTAACTGTAATAGAGGTATTATTGAGAAAAAAATGGTACATATCTAATACCCTCTTAAAATAGAACTAGAACAATAAAAATAAAACATCCATTTATAGAAAGTGGAATGACTAAAATGACATTGAGAAAGTACATATATTTTAGTTTATTATTTTAGCCTTAATTTTATTGATATTTGGATGAATTAAATGTGATTTTATTGTATATTGCATTATTTTTACTATTTTGTAGAGAAGGATTGGAATGTATAAAATAAAAAATTTTAGACTTAAGTACAACTCTTTCAAAAGTTGAGGGATGGAATTCTATGAGAAAAGCTGAAATTGGGGATCAAAATGAAAATATAAAGCTTGAGGATCAAAGTGTACAAAAACTAAAAGTCAAGGGACTATCATTGCTATTTACCATTTTCCATTGAATGTTAGAAATTTAGCATGTTGGCGTGGGGTGTTTTCACGTCTGTCCGTTTGTCAACTGAGGAATGATGTTGGTATTTCTCAAAAGTTGGGAGATTTTTAGTCCAGTTGTATTTAAATAGTCAGTCCAAATAACTTCAATGGTTTCACTAATTGAGATACTTTTGAAAAACATCTTTTATTTTTTTTATTATATTAGAGTAGGTGATTTAAATGAAAAGAAAAAAGACGATAAAAAAAGAAAGTATAAATTTAAACTTCTATAATAAAAGTATAAAATTTTTTTGTATTAATGGCAGAACTACAAAAGACTCCACTTAAAAAACATCTTTTACTAAGTGACCATGTATATTGATGAGATGATGTCGTTCCATCCAAATTAAACATCTTAATTTCAAGTTATAACTTATAACTATATTTTAAATAACCTTCTATGTATGATACTTTGATCATATGAATAATATGACCTTTTTTATACATCAAATTTAAAAAAACGCTATAGGAAAACCAAACTCTCAAAAAAGTAACCCCTGCAACATATACAAATAGTACGATAGACAAGCATACATGAATAGTAAGATACCTTGAACTAGAGTTCTTGTAGTCATTAGTTGTTTTTAATTTAGACAAAGTCTAGGCTAAAACCTCTCTTCTTCCTCGCATGGTAGCTTCAACTTATCCACCTCGATTCATCAAATAGAAACTCCTCCAATCTAAGTGCGTTTTATTTACCAATTAAGGTGTCTTTCAACCATGGGTTAGATTTAGCAGACATACACCGAGCAGTGAGCAAACCACTAAAGATTTTTCCCGTGTACGTTTTTTCCTTCCAAAGCCTTTTACACTCCAGCTGATAAAAAAAAAGGGGGGAGGGGGGCGCTTTCATACTCTTGCTTAGGAGTTCACTTGTTATTAAAATGATAAATGATTGATACACTTTTCGATTTAATATTTGGTTTAATACCTTTCGATTTAATCATTAAAAATATAATATAAATTAATTTTAGATTAAAAAATAATAATTTTTTAATGATTAAATCAAAAGATATTGAACCGAGTGTTGAACCGAGTGTTGAACCAGAAAGTGTAACAATCATTGTACTACTAAAATATTGCATTAAACCTATTAAATGATACACAAACAAGCTTCAAGAGTTATTTGGCCAAGAGGATAATTAAGGTGACACAAAAATGCATTACATTTTGGGTTTGGATATATATATATATACATATATTAACTAAAAAGGAAACTGGAAATTTAAAAGAAGAGGAGGAAAGAAGAAGAAAAGGAGATGGGAGGGTCCGACAGATAGGGACTAGTCGCGTGGGAGAAAGAAGAAAAGAGGAAACATTTGTCTTTCTTTTTCTTCTGCAATCAACAACTTGCTTTAAAACTAATATAAACACCGCATTACCGATTAATCAGGCCAACGGGGCTAAGGGACACTCATTATCCCCCAACTTTCCTTCGCAAATTCATTGTTAATTATTAACATATAATATATATTAGCTCACAAGTTAATTGCTTAACGATACAAAAGAGTAAATTTCTAATCTTTAATTCAAATAATTATTTTAATTTAATGGTTATTAACATATTTAATATGATTTTGATCTTAGGTTGTCTTTTCTTATAGGATCTTATTAAAATGATATAATTTTAGATTTTTAAAATTTTTTATATTCATCAATTGAATCCCTAAAAAATTAAAAAAAAATTCTCAAAACTACATATTTCAATAAAATACCATGAAAAAGACTAAAAAAGACCGTAATTCATTCTTTTAAAATATGTTATTTAGTCTTTTTAGATGAGAGTTTAATAAAACAATATATTTTTGAGATGTTTTTCTTCTAATATGTATGAAAATTGTACATATCAATTCTTATTAAAAAAAAATCAATATCCTAACCTTAAATGACATCGTTTCATTAAATTAAAATCCAACTCAAAATTTGAAAAACTAATTTATTAAATTTTGTTTCATATATTTGGAAGCCAAAAACTTAATTTGAAATTCAAAAATTTACCTTATTAAATATTAATATATAGATTCAAAAATTAATTATATTAAAATATATAATTAGCTTCCATATATATATATGTGATTAGTATATATCTCCCTTAACTTTAAAATGTTAAGAGAAAAATTACCTTAAAACTATATCGTTTTAATAAAGTATAATGAGAAAATACAAAAAATAGTTTAATTTATACTACTAAATTAGGGTGTTTTAGTATTTTTTTTAATGAGAGTTTATGGAAATAATGTAATTTTTAAATAATTTTTTCTCCTAATTTTTAGAGTTAAGCAGTTTTCCTTATTTTATATATATAAAAGAAAAAATGCATATCAATCCCAACTTTAAAAAAAATTAGAGTCACAATCTTAAACAATATTATTTTATTTAATTAAAATTCAATTCAAAATTCAAAAATCTATCTTATTAAATGTTGATACCTAGATTTGAAACTAATTATATATTCTAATATAATCGATTTCTAAATTTATATATCAATATTTAATAAAATAGATTTCTAAATTTTGAATTGGAATTTCATTTCTAAATGTAGGAATCAAACATTTAATAAGATGAATTTTTAAATTTTAAATTAAATTTTAATTAAATTAAATAAAGTTGTTTAAGGTTAGGATTATAAGTTTTTTTGAAAGTTGAGATTGATATGTACTATTCTCATTCATATATATATATATATATATACACACACACACACACAAGAGACAAAAAAAGTGAAAATGAGGATGTTATGATGATGATTTAAATGCTAGAACTCTCTATAAACTTGTTCAAATATTTTTAATGAAAATTTTTTTGTATATTGATTCATTAAAGGTATTTTAATTTTATTATTCTCAATTTTAACATTTTAATTATTAGAACATCTTAATATTCATGCATATAGGTGTAGACCTTTATTCTTATTACTTGACTAATACCTTACATATATGCATTTTTCATATCCAATATTTAACCATATCTTTTCAAGTAGGTAAAATAGGTAACCTCAAAAAATCAGGTATACTCATACTTGAAGCTCAGTACTAAATTTGGACTCCTGAGTCCTGACCCAAAAATAGTGCTTTTGGATTTGGATCGGTACTGGACTATATAGTACTCAGTCCGATTCCTATTAGGTCTGCTCCAACTAGATTTCAATCCGGGCCGAGCCCAAAATTTAAATTTACCACGACACCGTAGATGGATATTATGAAAACCAAAAAATCCCAAAATTGAAACAGAAAAAAAAAAAAAAATCGCAAATTCCTTCCTCCCAATCTATCCCATCCCTGAATGGCATCCATGGACGATACCTTCAAGCTCCGAGTCGAGAAGATCTTCGGATCGCTCCGATCTTCGACGTCTACTACACCTCTGGAGCAGCGACCTTCTCTGTGGTCCCTGACGGACGACGAGGTCGAGCGGAGGGAGTGGAGGCGAGACGCCGACACCACTGACCGACACGACATGCCGTGTTCGTCTTCTTTTGATGAGTTCTTGAAGGAGGAGCGGAAGCATAGAAACGAGAAGAATTGGCGCAAAGAGCTGGAGGATGATCTCGAGGATGTCGATGATGATGGCGAGGGTGGAGATGTGCGTCGGAAAAACGACGTTGATGGAGATGATTGGAGTATCAAATCTTCTATTGGATTGGATAGAACTCTCGACAATGAGGTAGCGTAACACTTAATTTTTATTTTTTTTATTTTTTATTTTAATCATATTTGTTCTGGTTTCTTCTGTCGTTCCATAATTTTCCTCATGGAGGATTATCTGGTTATTTAATTCCAAATTCATAATCAGGTTGAATTTAGGTTAGTAATATGATTAGTTATTAAGCTCGGAATGCTAATTGACATATTTTGAATCATTGCTGATTCCTGTTGTTATTGGGATTGATTGGTTGGAATACTTTTGTGAACTCATGAGAAATTGTTGTAATTTTTTACTGCTATTTATTTAGGTTTATAGCTATTGGATTTGGTACATATCAATCAATGCAACTAATATAATTGTTTCAAGGCCAAAGAACATGTACGATGAACTAATCAAAGCAAATATGCATATCATGTGATATATTACAGAATGGAAAAATGGGGTCTAATAAATTTAAAACAGCTTGGGATGTGAATCCCAAAGTTAATTAGAAAAGATCACCCTGCTCTGCAAACTGTTATACATTTTGCAAGTCTGTAGGATGTTTAAAATTTTTTGAGAGACTAAGGAGGGGTTGACACTGACTTCTAAATTTTAGGATTCTTCAGAATTACTTTGGCAAGTAGTTTTACCTTTTAACTTTCTTGATTGCTTTGTGTTGGGTAGGTTAAATGCGCGTCTTGAATATGATTGAAATTCATAATAATAATGAGATCTCCAAGTCCTGATAGTAGAAAGGGTGAAAGATGAGTAGGGGGCTAATTCCAAAGTTCCAATGAGGGTAAGTAAGAAAGAGGTTTTTGTTATCTTTGTTTTTTTTTTTATTTTTTCTTTTGTTTCTTTTTTTTCTTTTTCTTTTTAAATCTAAGTCAGTGGAAAGGTTCAGTGCATATTTTGTATATTTGTTCCAGGTATGTTCTTTCTTTTGTGTCTTTATAAGCCACCTTCTCCTTTTGATTTTTCGTTTTTATTTGATGTCTGATAGTGTGTTGTATAAATTGCCTCAGGAAGAAGAAGATGAATATGACAAAGTTGCTTCAGGCAGAGATTATGCTGGAAAAGTATACATGAGTGATATTAATGATCATGGTCTGTATTTGAATTCTCAGAATGTGCTTCATGGTTCAGCAAATGATAAATCTAAAAGGGATCCTCGTGCCAATTATCTGGCTGCAAGAATGAGGCTGAAAGAAGATGATGCTGACGCACGGAGCTCTCACCACAGTGGTGATACAGAAAATAAAGAACCACAGTCAAAATCATTTGATAGAGGTAGCTTATTGAGGTCTATACTGAAAAGGAAAGATGACAATGCTGGTTTCAAGCCACAAAAGCGTGTTCGGTTTGACCCTTCTTATGAGAATGATTCTGAAGTGGTGTCACAGAAGTTTAAGGAGTTTCCTGCAGGCACCCTCTCAAAGAATGTTAAAGCACCAGATGGTGGACTTCCATTTGCAGAAGATGCTCCAAAGGTTCCAGATTATGTACTAAATCCTTCTAGGTATACACGTTACAGCTTGGATTCAAGTGAAGTTGATGATGAATCAAACACCAATGCTTGTATGGACTTTCTTGAGCTTGTTAAAAAGTTAAAACCTAAAGAGTCAGGATCAGAGCTGGAGGATGGTCAAAGTGATCTTCCAAAAGTGACTTTTATCCCAAAGAAAAAGTCAATCAATGTTCAAGCAGGAAATAACGGTGGTGAGGTCCAAGAGATGGAAGTTGAAGGTAAGCAGTCCCTACTCCCATCAGGTCTCCCTCAGGGGATTGCAGCTGGTGAAGCCCAACAATGTGAAGAAGGTGAATTAGAAGATGATGGAGCAGGAACAAGTGCCATTGTCCAAAAACATGGTCGCAGCTATCGTCAAAAACCAAGATCAGATGAGTCAGACGCTTGAAGTTGAAAGCAGAGACTATTGTCAGTTGAGTTTGGATAGTTAAATCAAATTGAAATTTGCCTTAAAAATCTTGGTTTTGTTTCAAACCATTTTGTTGAATTTGATTTTGTTATCAGGATTGTGAGAATTTCTAAAGGAAAGGTTTATTTCGTCAAATATTAGTTGCATGGTTTGATAATGTGATATTATATTTTGAAGATGACAAGAATGTCACTGGTATTTTTTCGGCTGTGGTTGTGACTACATAGTCATTTGTTACAGCCCCAGAATCTTTTAAATTTTATTTTAATTTGATTATTAAAAATAGTTGATAATTGATAGTTTAGATTGTATCCATATGTAAATTAGGGATCGTTGAATGGGGAAGGGGTTAGGGAATTTAATTTTTATTTAATAATTAGTGTTATACAATTTAGTAAAATTTTAAATACATAATATTTTTTTATTCTTTGATAAATTAAAGTCAATTTATAAATATAGATTTTTAGACATTATAATCAACTGTTTAATATATAAAACAATAATTTTTTTTTTTTTAACATATTTGCAAGGGCGGATTTCGAACCCAGCCCAGGGAGGGGGGAATGCATTGGGGTGGCTATCGCTACTAGGCCGCAAGGGTCAGGTGCTATAAAACAATAATTAAATTGTGCAACCATAATAATTTATAATCATCTAGTGATAATCACATTTATATTTTTCTTGTTTGGTTATTTTTTTAAAGTAAGAATTGCATTAGTAGTGTTAGTATTTACACTGAAAAAAAATGTCAAATCAAAAACTCGATCTAAAGAATTAGGTGTCTTCACTTATTTTTCAATAAAAAACTAAGGCTATCGAGAAACCTAATGGGTGAAAGGCTTCTTCTTAGGTAATTTTTGTTAGCTTGTTAGGTGATTTTGTGTTAGCAGACTCAAGTCACTCAACGACAAAACAGTATAAAGGCTGCGTTTGACATTACTTTTGTAGTACTTTTACCCACCTTGCAATACCAAAAATGTTAATTAGTGTCAACTACTAAAAATGTTAATTAATGTCAACTATATAAATAATTTAATGATAATACTTATGTACTTAATTAATAAGATTAGTGCAATTAATCTTAATTTATATTTAAAAACTAAAATTTCAATTAAAAATTCTAAAATTTTCTTATTAAATGTTATTATTTAAATTTAAAAATTGATTATATATTCTAATATAATAAAATTTTAAATTTAAATATCAACATTTAATCAAATAAAATTTTAAAATATAAATTAGATTTTAATTAAATAAAACAATATAATTTAAAATTAAAATTTCAATTTATTTTAAAAGTCAAAATTAATATATATATTTCTTAATTAATTAGTTATTCATAGTAATTAAATTGTTTTAATTAATTACTAATAATTTATATGCAAGTTTTTTAAAGTTACATAAATATACAAAAGTAATTACCAAGCATTAACATAGCTTTACCGGGCAAATAAAAACATAAAAGCACTAACATAGCTATGGCTACAATACAATACATAAACAGCCACACCAAACGGCAATTCCAAGCAGACTCTCAACTTACGTTGCTCTGTAAATCAATAGCCTGTACAATCACATAAAGGTTCCAAAATGTAAAAGGGAAAAAATCCATAAAACCCTACAGGGAAAAAGATGTATAACAGAATAAGAGAGAGCAGAGATGTGGTATATAGATGGAATGGCCTTAAAAATCCTAAAAACATATTGTCACTGTATGGACCTATAATGGTAGAAAGTAAATAAGAATAAGAAAAGTGAAAAAGTATGTAAAAGTCTTCTTCCTATAAAAGATATAATCCAACCAATGCTTCAGCCTCAACTAACATCTATCATACTGGGCGAGAGCTTGTTATGTACAATGTCTTCTGGCCACTGTTTGCTATAACTTATCGGCAATTCTTCCTAGAGCATCTGCCAGCTTATTAAGAACAGCAACTAAACTATCGGTGTGGACTTTGCGCTGCTCCCTGTCTAACTGACAGTTGGCATTTTGAACTTCAAGTTGAGCACTCAGCATTTTCCCGTTCCTCTCCAAGACTTCAACCAACTGATACTGCAGGCTGTTCATTTCATCATCCACCTCTGTGGAAAACCTTTTCCTCTTCCTTCCTTCTTGAGAAGTAGAACCTATCTCAGGATTTGAGGTCGGGTTTTTCTCTTTTGGTGTACCTGCATGTCAAATGAGTTACCTGAACAGCATACATCTAACATCAAACAGGAAAGCATTTTAATCCTATGTACCACTTATGCAGTAATCCAAAGCACTTCACCTGAGTTGAAGCATATAGTGGAGTCTCACAATATCCTTGTGGCATTAAATGGGTGCATGCATAACAATTCACACAGCCCATCAATAAAAAGAGTCGGTCATAATAATTAATCAAATATTGTGAGATAACATTGTGGGTGAATCATTTTCCTTTAATCAATCAAATATTTATTCCTTAGTATGGAGGAGCATGAGCATTTGGCAATTCAGCTAAGCTATGATGGATTATCCTCCTTGTGTCAGAAAAAATGGTAATCTTTGAAGCCTACAAATGCTCTAACTTATGCATCAGCAAGGCTTCAAATCATAAAACACCAGGAGTGTCTCAAGTGGGTTGTTGAGAACTTGAGGTTTCAAATTGGAGATTTTGAGTTCGAATCTTGAGGGAGGTGGGGAGGGATAAGGGAAGGGGAGAGCTATCCCATGTTGTATAACCTATCATTTGACATACCAAAAAAGGGGTTCAAATCATAAAAGAAGGTAAATGGCATAATTACAAGACCTTGAACTAGATACAACTACAAGAGAAAGCATTAGACAGACTTTGAACCGATCATTAGTCATTAGTTCCACCACATGAAGCTCGAATTTCCCATGTATAAAACTGATCCCATAAAATACGCAGAGATTTCATAATCAACTTCAAAATTGCTAATCTCTATTCTATGATAGCAAACAATAAGTAAACATTCAAAGACACTTCTAAAACAAGCTGATGCCAGAAAATCCTAGATCAACACAATCATGCTTAACTTCTAACACTTTCTGATGCAAATGCTGCTCAAAGACGATTTATAAGGTTACGGTAAAACAAAGAAGCATTACCTTGACTCTGACCCCCTACGAAAGCTGGTTGATACTGCTTCTCTGTAAAAACAATCGCGAAAAAGTAAAACCTATCAGCATTAATCTCCAAAGCATAACCTTTTCTCCTCTGTTTTCTTCAATCCAATCAAGAAAAAGAAGAAACACACCATTGCAGAGTCTAAAATATCAATACCACCACTGTAATTTTTAATCCCTCCACAAAAGAAAAGGGGTGTTTAGTGTTTAATAATCAAAAGCCAAACTTTATAAAGAAGCCAAAACCTCATTGAAAATCCCACCACCAACTTTATATTATATCTCTAAAATCTATGAAAGAAACCCTAAAATCGAAACCAATCATTCAAATAACAATTGAATTATGGAACAAACTGAATTAAGTAAATCAGACTGTTTTCATATTCATACAGCCCCAGAAAAAGGGGCAAACCAACTCTTTGGGATTACCTGAAATGGGTATGGGAGAGGGAAACGTGTTTCCTGCCGCCGGCTCCACCTTTTCTGGGCTCCCAGCAGCTTCATCCTGCTCAAAGTCTGAAAACAAGCCATCATCCGCCGCAGCGCTCCTGCCGCTGTCAAAAACTGCTTCTGTATCCTCCGACGTAGTGGTAGGAGCAGAAGTAAGAGCCAAAGTTAATCCCGGCGGCCCGGATGAAGGAGAAACCCCAGAGCCGCCGCCGCCGTCTAGAATATCATAAACTTCCTTGTCAAAAAACCCAGGCAACTTCCTCTCCCTCCTCAAATCGTTCCGCATCACCCAAAAGGATTCCGCTTCCTCCCTTATGTTACTCTCCCATTCCTTGATTTTCTTAAAGTCTCCGGCCAAATTGCTCCACCTTTTCCGGCACTGAACCGGGCCCCGGTTCACCCCGTGCCTTTTGCAGTACGACGACACAGATGCCCATTTGGGTTCCACCTGAACGGACCCAAAAGCCAGTCCGGCAGCTCGACCCCGCCTGACCCGATTCTCCGCCACTCTCTTCCCCTGAATTAGCACTAGTATCTCCTGTCTCGTCCATCTAGGGAGCCTTGGGGTCTTACCCACGTCCTCCCCACCGTCACCGGAAGCCAGACGGGTTTCCTCCACGCCACCGTTAGCGGCGGCTTCGCCGTCAACGGGATTGGGCGCCGGAGTCAATGTTAACTTCTCCAACGCCATGGAAGTGGCAAGGAGATAACCTTTTTACGAAGAGCACGTGACAGTGAAGCGTGTTAACGGGGTATTGATGTAACGGCGTTTTGAAGGGGGGTCCGTTACGCCGTTTAGAGGGAAGCCTGCCTAATCCCTCATCTTAATAAAGAGAGAGAAATGAAAGAAGAAAAAGGAGAGATTTTTAGGGCTTCTTTCCCTTTTCTTCTTTTTTACAACAATCCTTCAATTGACCTTTAACTCCTCCCCCCTTAATAATGTCTTATTAGGGTGTGATATAATTAAGGGATCGTAGTTTTTAATTTGAACGGATTAAACAAAAGATCAGTTTGATTTGAAGTAATTAAAATGTTATTAATAAATTTATTAACAATATGTTAGTAATTTGCTTATTTTCAACAAAGGAAAATTTTTAAGTGATTAGGATCAAACAATTTTATATAATTAATCAGGAATCATACCTTTTAACTCAATTTTAATGAGAGGATTTGATTTTTAAAATGCTTTCTTTCTTTGTTAAGGTTAGTTTCTTGTTTTGGAAACTAAATCTTCAAAAGGGTATCTCTCATATCTTTGCTAAGGTCATTTTCTTTGCATAGAATATGGCATTAAACGCGTTTTTTGGGCCACCTTATCCCTCAATTTCATATCTTTTCAATTTGTTTCTTCAATTACTCAATTGTATTTTGCCCAAAACTTTGGTCAAAACATCTATAGTATTCAAGATTCAACCCTTTTTTAAAATGGCTATATTTTCTTTGCTTACATACATCATACAAAATTTTTTTAGGGTTTTCATAATTTATTTAATAAGGGCACTCTATAGACCCTACCCTACCACTAAAAAGAAAATTAGGGATGAAGTAAGTATCTGAATTATGAACCCTTCTTTTTCTTGTTAAATCATTTGCCCTAATCTTAACTTTAATGGGTACTAATCCTAGTGGATGGGCAATTGGGCATTGGCCCCCTCCATTAAGGCCACATGTTTGTCGTTTGGTTTCCCCCTAATCTATCTTTTTAGCTCTCTAATGGAATCTTTAGGGCTTAAGTATCAACTAAAGAGAGTAGTTAAGAAAAAAAAAAATAAAAGCTTTCAAGAAAAAAGCACAAGATTACAAAGAGGGATTTGGAAGAACATGCATGAGGCATGAGATTAATTAGGGGGAAGGGTTAGCATGGGGTCACATTCTCTCTGTGATATCTAGTCTATGGCCCTCCTAATATTTGGTGGTCAGGTCTTACAAGATATGGAGGAGCCATCTCCAAAGGCAATTGCTACCCTTTCAATTCCATGGTAGTCCATTTATATATCAATCAATCCTCAATGAAACCCAAATGGTCGATGCCCTTACACCATATTTTTATTGAGATAAGATCCCTTTTTTTTTTTTAATCTCAAAATGAGATAATTAGCATTACAATTTTTAAAATGATGCAATAATAGTATTTTTTAAATAATTTATATAAAAATATAAATGTTGACTTTGATTTAATTAATGAGAAAAATGTTTATTAGCTTTATTTACAACAAATTAAGTAAAAAAAATTTTAAAACTACATTATTTTAATAAAATCTCATTGAAAAAGACTAAAACATCTTAGTTTTTAAACTAAAAATAAGGTTGTTTTAGTCTTTTTTTTGTAGTAATTTATTAAAACAATATAATTTTGAGTTTTTTTAA